AATGTGAAGGACTTGGGAGGCATCTCCAGGCTGCCTCCAAGGAGTTAAATCTTAAGGTGTGCATGCAAATTTGGCTTTTTACCAAGGAGCAGATGAGTTTGTTAATAATAGCCTTACTCCCAAGTTAGCTGTGCAGCTGGTGTGGGGAAGGTTCCCTGGTGCTCTGGAGCAGGGTGTGTATGCTGGGGATATGGGTCGGGGTTGACAGCAACCGGCAGCCTGGCTCCTGGGGTTCATGTTCCTTGGCAGAGCCATGGTAGATGAGTTGATGCCCTGGTGCTGGAGTGTGGCAGCAGAAAAACCCCAGCCTTGCTGTGATGGTGTCTATTAAACACTGCAGAGAGCTTGGGTAGGCAGGAGCCTGTGTAGTAGGGTGGTTTCTGCTTGTGGATGTTAATTGTTGCCCTTCAATTACTGGGTAAATTTATAGTCCAGCCACTCAATGCAAGGAAGTTTTTGTGCTTGATTCTCGTGAGGTTCTGAAGATGGGCGAAGTTCCACATTCAGCATGGCTGTGCTCTGCTGATAGAAGCGTCAGGATTTGGGACGTGCCATTTTTAATCATTTTGTGTATGTTTTTTTTTCCCTTTTCTTGGCCACTGATACCCAGATTTAGCAGCACCTGATCTCTGCTTGGTTTGTTGGAGCCAGCATCCTTCCCCAGGGGGTTAAGATTTCTTTTTGCTTGCACTGACACGACTCAGGAAGCCGCCCAGCTCAGACACTGCAGGTCCCAGCCTGACTGGCAGGGAGGGCTGAGCAGGCCAGCCTTGGTGGTGACTGGCCACCAAGACCTGTCTGTACTTATAGCTGGTTGCCTGAGTGATGTGGATGCTATTCCCTGTTGGGAGTTAGGGCTCATGCCACATTGGAAGTAGTGTGGATAATTAAGACCTTCATCAGTGGGTAGTCCAGACTCCTCACCTTCATGAGAGCATCTGCCTCTTGCCTCCTGAGCAAGCACTTTGATGTGCTGTATAAATAAGAAGCACTCCAGCCTGGCAGGCACGGTAAGGTCCTGCTTGAAGCGCTGCTTTGTTCTCCAGAGCTTACTGGTAACTGCATGCAAGGAACTGCTCTGATTTGGGAAGTAGCACAACATAGTAGATACCTTGAGATCAGCTGGACCTGCCAGACCGGGGATGGGGATAACTAGAGGCAAGAAAGCCCAGTGAGCAGGACAGTCTTTCCTTTGATGGGTCAAATCTGTACCTGAGATGGCAACTGGTTGGTCTCAGCTGAGCCACGGAAAACAGTATAACTGGTGTGAAAGTATGAGCATGTGGCTTCTCTGTGCAGGGCAAAACCCTCCTCTCCTCCCCAGACTGATCCCCTTTGCCAGCCACAGGGCAACCATCTCCAGTTCTCAGAGCCATTGCAAATTCTGCTTAAACCTGGCAGCAGCCCATACTCAGCTCACCCAAAGCCTGGAAAGATTGCCAGGACATATCCCACACCCCATAGCAGGACTGTGTGTGAGCCACCCCTCACTAAAATCGATTTCTCTTTGAGTCCATGCTCTGCAGGCAGATGAGGCAGTGTCTGTGGCGGCCAGTTGATACATGAAGATGGTTTCTACAGCCCTCCAGAGAGTTTGTAGCTCCAGTTTACTAATTGCACTCACTCCAGGGAAGGCAGGTCAGAGCTGGAACAGGAGACACGGAATGCATGACGCACATGTGCTGCTTTGCTCTCTGCCCTATATCCATGTGTGTGTTTTACAGGACCCCTTACAGGAGAACCAGAAACCTGTCCTTAAAAATCTGTCGGCGTTATTATGCTGAGGCTCTGAGCCTGCAGCTCTGCAGAGGCAGCCGGTATGGCAACCTTATGCAACGCCTTCTGAAATGACGCCGCATTTCCATACTTAGTAACTTCGTTAAGATTTTTACACTGCCTAGAGATTAGGGCTGACTCTTCCTCTGCATTTGTTGCTTAGGCTTCTCCTCCAGGCTTGTGCTGTGCACAGCCAGCATCACGCCACTTGGCACTGCAGCTCAGTGGCATGTCCAGCCTGCTGCAAGAGGCAAGGAACACTGAGGACACCATCACGTAACAAACTCCAGCCTGCGGGAGAAAAGGTCTGACAGCCTCCTCCCTGGTGACTGATCTTACACTTTGCACACTTCAGGAGCCGTCTTTTCTCCAAATGTGCTTCAGTTGAATCCTTGCAGCTTGCATACCGTGTGATACCATGTCCAGAAATGTAGTGCATGAAATGCAGGCCTTACCCACCCCTGGAGGAGCCCGGTTCTACGTACTTGGAAGCAGGAGAATTCCCCAACCTACATTATATAAAAGCTATTTGAATCTGAAGTTGCCAGATGGGATTTCTGTCTCACTTATTTTCGCTCTGAATTTATTCACTGCCCTTTAGGACAATGAAGTGGCCTTCACGTGCACAGCATGCATGACCCTCATGCTCCTGATCCCTTACCTGATTTTGTACTTCATGGTAAACAGGAGTCCAACATTCCTATACATAAACAACACCCAGCAGTTCACTGCTGGCAGAGATGCTCTGACAACATACGGACCCTTCTCACGAGCTTGTTTCTGCTCTTATCACAGTATCGATAACCACTTCCCTCTTTGCCCTGCCTTTGGAAAGACCCAGTCGCTTGCACTTCTCCTTGCAAACAGAAAGAGGAAACCCCACCACTCCTTTGCACGCCTGTGTGGAGAACCAGACGCACCTCTGCAGCATGCATAGGAAAATAAATCCCCAGTTGCAGCTTTGGAGAACAAAGAAAGAATGATGATGAAGTCTTCCAAATAGCTTTTGCCCTGGCAGGAAGCACAGGAATAGCTGCAAGGACAGGCTGTCCTTCGGGAGATGAATGCTCCCCCTGCACTCCTGAGCTGCACTGGTAGAACAGAAATGTGAGTTATTCTGATTGGAACAATTCCACATGGGGTAGTCCAGCCATAGCCCTCTCTCCCCCAGTCCCAAAGCCTCTGAAGAGGAGTCACATTCCTCTTGGAAAAATATATTCCTTGTCTTGCTTGTGATACCCACAGCCCTGTTAAGTATTGCCTCACCTTTTCTTTAGGTACGGTTTAGCTTCTGTTCATGGCATATCCATATACTTTCTCCGTTTTGAGATGTCCCTTGCTTTCACAACCCTCACTGTTGTATTGTCACCCTTCTCCACTTACTAAACCCAGTTCATGATTCAGAAAGCCATTTTTTTCCAGGGTGGGAAATCTATATATTTTTTGGCCAGAATAATGCCAGTTTTCTTTATCTTTCCATAGACTTAGGCCTTCAAAACCAACAGGATCTATATAGTCCTTCCTATATGCATAGTTTCATGTTGTGCATACTCATTTTTTCTTAACAGAGTTCAAGTGCCATATGGAGACAATCTAACTTCCTCTGTCCTCCTGCTGTATTCATACCCTTGCTGTGCAGTCCAGCACATACACACCTGTTACTCTTCATTTCCAGTCCAAAGACAGTTTTGGGGTCTTACCATAAGACCCACACATTGCTGGGCCAAAAAAATCATCATAGAATCACAGACCGGTTTGTGTTGGAAGGGACCTTAAAAGCTCATCCAGTTCCAATCCCCTGCCACCAGCAGGGACACCTCCCACTAGAGCAGGTTGCTCTAAGCCCCGTCCAGCCTGGCCTTGAACACTGCCAGGGATGGGGCAGCCACAGCTTCTCTGGGCACCCTGTGCCAGGGACTCACCACTCTCACAGGGAAGAATTTCTTCCTAATGTCTAATCTAAATCTCCCCTCTGTCAGTTCAAAGCCATTCCCCTTGTCCTATCACTACATGCCCTTGTAAAAAGTCCCTCTCCAGCTTCCCTGTAGGCCTCGTTAGGTACTGGAAGTTTTTCTAAGGTCTCCCCAGAGCATTCTTTCCCCAAGCTGAACAACCCCAACTCATCTTTGCTGTTTTTCCCACTGAAATGCTTCAGGCCCACGAGTTTGACCTTGTGAATTAAAGGAGGCATTCAGTCCCCTGACCTAGGCAATACCATTTTGGCTGCTCAGGTATGCCAGGTATGCTGCCTTTGCATTATTTTCAGTGCAGTCATGCAGTGTCACAAGCCACTGAACGAAGCTACGTCTACCCACAAACTCCAGTTTCCCTATTCCATAGGTGCTAGCCGCCTCTCATTCCTCCTTCAGCTGCTCTTTTCCTCTCTTTTACATGTACACACCCTTTTAAAAGATGGCAGGGAGCGAGTTCCAAGCGCAGCAAACACGTCAGCTTCATTTATATAGGGCAGAGAATCTCCTCGTCCTGTACCTCCTCTCCATGTCCATTGTTGTGCATGCGCAGCCTGAGAGAGAGACCTACTCTTTACCTCCTATTGACGGAGATAAATGATCCTGCTGGATCACACACAAACGGTGCAGCTCAGGACAGACCAGCTTGGCGAGATCACTGGTTTGCCCTGCCAACATCTAATTCATCCAGAAAAAGGTGCGTGTCACCCTGTAGACAGCTGCAGAGCAACCTCCATGCTTTTTATTTCCCCTGCCCCCACCAGTTAGTGGTTGGCACTGTTAATCCTATTTAATGTAACTATGGATAGACACGCAAACCTTTAATCCGTTTCAAACCTACTAACCCTTCAGCCTGCCTTGGCTGGAGTTCAACAGCCTGTCTTCTTTTACACTCCTCATTTTTAGCTGGATTGATGGGTCTTCAAATGAGAAACTTCCTTGTGCTGTAACTTTCCTTTTGCGAGTTATTCAGGGCACTGCTTCTGTGCACCCTTTCTACAACAACCAGTCTCTTACCCAAGGGGTTCCAGAGCCTGTCAGTGTTGTAGGTGCTGACGCTGTGTTGATCATCAGCAAGACTGGAAGGGGAGCCAGTAATGAAAAAGAAACCAGAGGCTGAGATTCCCAAAGGCTCCATCTCCCTGCTTCCCCTTTTCCCCCCAATTTCCTCTCAGCTTTTTCAGTGTTTTTTTTAAAGCCTGAATGTTTGCCTGAGCTTGCTTTCTAGTCTCTTTTTGTTCATTGTCACCACGTTTGTTACTGCTGTGTCATTTCAGAGGCTGAAGTTGGTTAGTGCCCAGAGCAAACATGTTTTCTTGGTTTACATTTGCGGTCCTCCTCTCTCCTTGTATATGCAACATTGATGTTACCTGTTGTTGTTTCCTATGCTACAGAAATAAAGACTTGCTGATAGAGCGGAGGCTGTATCAGCTTACATTAGCTTGTACCCATCCGAACAAATCTTCCTGTTTGCTTTCCGCTCACGTAACGAAGGAGAAAGAAGTCATTAATGGGCTTGATGAATCTTATTCACAGTAAGCTAGCTTAACAACGAGCATCTGGGAACCATTTTGCCTCCTCTAAACTGTCTTCCTGGGAAGGTTCTACCACATTAATAACACTTCAGAGCTTTTATTTGCATTTATATTAAATCTGCTGCTGCTGCTGCCTCCCATTACGACTCCCTGCTGCGTGTGGGTGAAGATGCACTGTAAGATGGCACCCTCCTCCTTCTTCCCCAGCTCAGCCACCTCTATTTTCTGCTGCAGGATGCTCAGCTGGTGTCGCAGAGCTGGGAAGAGAGCCAGCAGCCTGATGAGCTCAACCAGCACGCAGCCCTCACACCGCAGCAGTGGGATGTCTCCCTGCGCTACCGCTCACAACCGCACGGGAGGGTAATGCCAGGTCCAAGGGTTGAGGGCTGCTAGGAAAAGCAGCTATGGCAGCGGCTCCTTCTGTAACTTCCTCTTCTCTTTTACAAGGGCCGGAAAAGTCTCTGCAAGGAACAGAGAGATGGCACAGGCTGCTCCAAGAGAGCCACCTCCTCAGGTCCCAGCACAGCCGAGGAGCTGGCATGATCGAGGCAGGACTAGACCATAACAAAGACAGCTGGGAGTATAAGGAGATGCTTAGCTTCAGCTTATCGCAAGGCACATGCCACTCACTGGTCCTTATTCTCCCGCTAGCTTAGAAGACATTCTCCTCAGGGGCCAACTCCTGCCACAGTGTGCAGGTGGCACTGCTGTTCTTTCATAGGATCTCCTACTCTCCTGGAGAGAGAAAAAAATCAAGGCAGAACATGCTAGATCTTTGCCCTTGTGGAAGATGGTTTATCTAGAGCCACCCGCTCACTTCTGCTTGCATTTCCTGCCTCCTGCAAAATAAAATCTAATTTATTTAAGGATACTGTTGGCTGTACAACCAAGGTTTGATTTCAGATGGCAAAATCAAGTCTGTCAGGTAGCTTTGCCCTCTTCAACAATGTAACATCTCATGGCATACAGCCACAAGAAGTATGGTGATTATTTGTGTTGGCTCTAATAGTCTTTCCAGCCAGTAATGAGAGCCACCATCCAATTTTAAAACTCCACAGATCTGGGTGTTATTATCCTTGAGGAAAACTGCCATGGGCCATGCTTTAAAGTTCCTCATTAACCAAAAGAACAACTTTACTGTTTGCTTACATTTGCAAGCAAACAAGCTGGGTTTCGCACAAAGAGAGTGAACCACATTACCTTAGTGCTTCTCTCTGATGGTTTTGCTTTCCTTAGCCTGCAGAAGGGCCCAGGAGCTGAACAACCACAGAAACAAGCCTATGTAGGAGTAACTGGTGGAGGAAGGGGGGTTAACATGAAGGATTTCTGCAAGGTTAAAGGAGCTGCCAAATGCTGAAGATGAGGGCTTGAAACAAAACAACACCCCAGAAATCTACCTTTCAAACCTGAAATTGTGGCACATCCAGCTTTTTCACATTGTTGTTTCTGTGACAGCTCCACACAGAGCTGTGTTAGACCAGCTCACATACACTGCAGCGTGTACAGAGGTTTTAAGGAGACATGTGCTGTATACACATTTTGCTCAACTACTTTTTCAAACACTGTTTCCATTCTTTCAAGAAGCAAAAGGTCATTCTCTTTTTTTTTCCATGTTTTTTTTTTTTAAATTTGGAAGCAAGATCAAACTGAAAAAGAAGGGACTTGGTCTTTGAACTGTTCTATTTTTACCATTTTTGGCTGCAGATAGTTGAACTTGATCCCATTACAAGAAATCTCCTCCCATTCACTATTACACAATTTCCAGTACATGCACTTCAGGATGTTCACTACTTTCCCTGTCTGGGCCTCATACATCTGGGTGACCTTCCCTCCCATGCAGACAAGAGAGGAAGAATGCAACACAGGTGACACAGACTTCAGACAGCATCAGGAATTATAATCAGAAGGCAGGGAACGGATACCAAAATCCTGACAGTGCTAACATCCAAGCACCTGCTGCTCAGGTCAACCAAGCCTCTTGTAATCAGAGTCTAATCAGAATTTGGCATTAGTCCTTCTCCTTACCTTTTTTACAGACTTCCCACCTTTCCAGGTAAGGGGCAGCAAAGGGCAGTGGCTCCCCGAAGCAGCACATTTAGTGGTTTAGTGTGGAAGTGTTTGGAACAACATCCCCACCTGCCGGGCCTTCTCTTTGTTGCAGCCGGCAATTTAGCAGTAGTCTGATAGGAAAAGACCTTCCCTTCAACCCAGCACCACAACTCTGGCTCAGATTTTAACTTGGTGCTGAGACTGACATTGGGTTAAAACCCCTTCTGGATACAGGGGCTGGCAGCGCCCAGAAGCGGTGCCCTCCTAGCGTGGCTGAACCTCAATGGGAGGCTCAGGGATAAGCATGCAAAGGACAACTTTCTCCATGTGAGAGCTCTTCCTCGGAGACTGGGAGTAGGCAAAACAGGGGAGTCATCTCCATTCCAACCTACACTTTTTGAAGGCCTGAGTGTGTCAGAAAGAAGATTAAATACATGTGTCAACATGAATCAGGCCATTTACACAACTGAATCATCCTGAAGAGAGGGATGCCTGGATCAGAACAGATCCGTCTTCATCAAATGTAGCCTGTCATAATAATCACTATTAAAAAGGCAAAGAGAGGTGGTGTCTACAGCAATTATTTAATCAAACAACATATAAAAACATTTTACAATGACTGAAAAACCTGACAGAGGCTGTAATAAGAACAGAAGCTGCAAGGCTACTCAGGTTTAACATCCTTCCCTTTGTGGGTACCTACTGTGGGTCCAAAACACTTCTCTATTCAGATACAATACTTTAAATGGTCCTTGCTAATAACACAAGTAGCAGAAGCCCTACATCCTGAAGAAGGCAACAAGACTTATATTTGGCTTGGTCTACCCTTCTACATTAAGAATGCAAGGCATGGTGGCTGGAGGGAGATAATTATAAAGACAACGTATCTCGGATCCAAGAGAACCTCCATAGCTCTAGCTGGCCAGTATCAAGTTCTGCACAGATACAGAGCTGCTCTGCAAGCCTAACATTAAAGCACTTGCTGACAGAGGCACATCTCTGATGTCTCATCTCACACAGAGGAAATGGCCAGTCCAGCGTGCCAAGCACTCAGCTACAGAAAGACTGGAGCTGTGAGAATCCCTGTCATGTTGTTTATGGTATCCCAAAGTATTCCCTCTCAAATTTACGGAAGTCTTCCTCAGTAAAGACAGTGCCCTCAGGCTTCTTCTTTGCTGCCTTCTTTGGAGGCTGATCTTTGGCCTTCCTGCCTCTGTTCTGAGCAAGAACCTTCAGATGATAAAAAAAAAAAAAAAAGGAAAAATCCCAGTCATTGTTATCCAGACCAAACCACAAAAATGGTGATTTTCAAGCTCACTGCTGCATCCTGGCTGTTCCACTAATCCCCTGCTATATCCCAGAATGCCTCCAAAGAAAAGTGAGAGGCAATCACCAATGTCAACTAAAGCAGGTCACTGGGACAACAGCAAATACCAATTTAGTAATTGGAGTCAAATATGAAAACTGCTCTTTGGTAATCATCACAGAGATAGAAACACTTATTTAAATTCAGACCTTTCTGAAACTATGACTTTCTTTTATCCTGTCTCTCCAGGATAAACCTCAGTTGATGGAATTCCCTCTACATTTTCTAATACACTGTCATCTCCTTTCACAATTTCCAGCCTGAGAAACACTGGCTTAAACCACTTGGTTTATATAAGTTAACAGCCTGCATCTCATAAAAATAGCCCAAGATTCTAGTAGTGTCAGCTATTCTCCTCTTCAAATCCTGTCATGCGACTTCCTTTTGTGGAAGAACACAGGTTAAATTCTCACGTTATGAGAAACATCGTTCAAGATGCTAAGAAATTCCCATTACATGAGCCAGCAGCACATCTGGGTCCTTGCAAAACAGCCTCCAGCTACAGAGGACAGTTTGATCAACAGCAAGAAGGCCTGAACCAGGGCTTCTTTGACAGCTGAAGCTATGACATATCTTTGGTAATTAAGAAAAGCCAACGGCTGTCAGTACATTTTAACTAGTATAAGAGAACATCATCGGGGACAATGTATCAATGAGATGATAAGCATGTCACTTTGTTTTAGTATGTTACTTTGTCACTGCACACAGAAATTCCTCAAGGCTGCTTGCTGACTGAAACTCATCTTCTTTGCACGGGGTCTAAGCTGGAAGATCTGGGAATGACCCCCATTCACCTGTGTTCCTCAACAGAAGCAAGACCCCCAAACAGAAGTGACCATCTTACTTTTTCCGTGACTGCTCTGTTTGCAGCAAGTCGTCCTTTCAACATGTACTGCAGATTTTCTCTCAAGTGATTGACAGCCTTCTTCTTATGATACTCCTCTAGGTCAAAGCAGAATGGGACACAACACATCAGCTGTGCATCCAGGCAGCATGCAAGGGCAGACACAGGAGGACAGCAAGGCCCCGGGAGAAAGAAGCAGCACTACAGCTCAGGGACAAGTGTGCATCCATAGATATGGCTGTGCTCAAGTAAGGAACACCAGGAGGATGGGATGGGTACAAACGGCTGAGGCTGGCTGCGGGACACCGTAAGAGGGCGCGGGGCGAGGGCTGTGGAGAGCGGCAAAGCCGCTTCTCCCTCCTCCCAGAGCCGAGCCGGGACTCACCTATTGCCGACTTCACGACTCTGCCCTTGACTGTAGCCCCGTTCCTGCCGGGCTCCGGCGCCCTCTTCCTCCGCCCGGCAGCACCCGCCGCCTTGAGGCCATTCCTCCCGCGCTGGAGCCCCGGCGGCGGCGCCTTTCCCCTGCCTGAAGCGGGCAGGGGGATGGAGTTACCCCAGCCGTACACCGAGAATCACCCTCCCCGCACCCCCGCTCCTCACCACCTCACCCGGCACCTCCAGCAGCTCCAGGCCCCGCCGCAACAGGGAGGCCGACATGACCGGCGGTCAGCTTCCGGCTCGTCACCTCCGCCACTTCCGGCTCCCCGGCGCACATGCGCGGGGGGGAGCTCCGGCAGGCGTTGGGAGGGGAAGCTTGTGGCGCCATGTTGTACGGACATCACCTCCCCTCAGGCCCGTCCTCAGCTCGCGTCGCGTACAGCGGTTGCGGCAGGTTCTTGCTGGTGGTCCTTTGTTACCGTTCCTGTGCACTGTGTGTTCCGCAGGTCCCCTCTGTTGGGGCCACTGCAACAGTGCCACGCCTCTAAGGGGTCCTTGCCGTCACAGGTATAAGAACAGTAACAACAGGCCAGGAGGAAAGCAGTGGTGTCGTGTTTTGTCTTGGTGAGGCCGCAAGAAAAGCCTCCGAGCTAGGCTCCTCTCAGGCATAGAAGTTCCCTCTGCCATAAATTGCATCTATTATTCAGTATTACTTTGTTTATTTAAAGCTCTCTTCCCTCATTTTTGCCCTAGAGACTTGATGCTAGTATCTGCTAAATTTAGCTATCATCTGAATAAAGCTTACTCAGTTACAGCCAGTGCAGGCAATAATAAGCTAACACTGAAGGAGAGAGGTTCATTCTCCCTCAGGCACGTCCTGCAGGAGAAGGTGGTACAAGGGGCTCTCATTGTTTCTCATAGTAATAATCTCCTATCAGGCAAGTTATAGTATATAATAACAGTTAAACCTCGGTTCATTAAAAGGCATTCATTCTCTGAAAATTGTTCTCCAGCCTCCACAGATGTCACCTCAGTGCGTGTCCTTTTGCTGTTCATTCTCTTCTGAATCCCTCCCTGTCCCAGCATCCAGTGTCAGAAGCTCTTGGTGTGATGGTGCTAATACATTCTTTTGGGCAGGACTTACTGGGTGCTTATCCCCAGCTTCAGGGTGGGGGAACATTAACCCTTTACTGCTTGTTCAGCATGTCACTCTTTAATTTTCTTTTTACAGTAATCTGAACTTTTTTTTTTTTTAAATTGATCTGAGGGGACAGTCACTGGGTGTGTAGCACAGGGCACTTACCCATTTTCTCGTTTTCTCTTAGTAGCTACTGGAGGGTAGAGCTTGCTCAGCTCCTAGTTCCCTGCCAGGTTTGTCGCTGGGGTTGTGTGAAAGGTCACAAAGTCACGAGGAGGTTGCTGTAGCTCTGCAAAGGAGAAGCTGAACATGCAGTGAGTTAATAGCCTATTGCTGAAATTGGAAAGAGCACTGGAGAGCATTCCAGTCAGCAGAAAATGTGTTACTACTTGTGTACTCAGATAATCTTTATTGTGGTCAGAGTGAGATAAATGATAGCTGCCAGTGAATTTACCATGGGGAAAGCAGTTCCAGAAATGTCTCATCAGTCAAACACTCACTTTTAGCCCCTAAAACACTTTTTACAGGCTCTTTGTAAGCTATTCATGGTTACATATTACATAGTATATTCAAGATAGCTTCTTCTAATGGCGAATTTGCATAATTTATTAGTATCACCTAATACATTGTTACACATGCCTAGTATTAGAATGGTGTAACCTCATAAATACATTATGAAGGCACTTGGTGCAAAACCATCTTTGTTACTAACACTGCAAAACATGTTTAACAAATAAATGTGGTGGAAGCTGCATTGATTTATTATCCCGTAGATGGAAAATGCATGTCCTTGTCTACCTCAGAAGCAAACCATTACCAGTGCTATCCTAATTCTGTTTCTGTTGCACTGGTTAATAAAGCCCTCAGTTATGCAGGTGTCTCAGAAACTCTGACTCCCTTCTTATTAAATACCTTCAGTAGCAAGAAACTGTAATCCAGGCAATGCCTCCTTTACACAGCAAGGTTGAGTGCAGACTTGCTATTATTTTAGCTAGCAGTTATCTGCAGAATAGAATTTAATGAGCACACAGGGGTCACTTTGCTGAGCAGGGAAGGCAAGGCACTTGCTTTAACTGCAGTCACAGTCTCCTGCCTCAGAGTCTGCTCAGGTTCTTGGAGTTACTTAGTGCACCAAAAAGTTAAATGGATGGGCATTTCATGTTGAGTCACATTCCCAGGTTTGGATCTGTTGCCAAAGATCACAGTCCAACATGGGCCACGGATTTTTTATTTGTTTCCTATTATTAACATATTATATTTTTTCAGCTCCTTTTAACAGGATTTGTCAGTATTTCTCAGGGCATGATCACTAATGTTTCTCCTGGCTGTGTTCTGGCTTCAGCTGTGTTTGGTCTTGCCAGACACGGTGATGACAGCATCTGTCATGTCTCTGTGCGGGTGACTTTGGTACAACTAATACCTGTCACACTCCTGCAGACAGGGGTGCAGAGTCTTTCCTCGCTCTTTGGCTTTAATAGAGAATTGTGCTTACATCTTCTTCCTGCAGTGCTCAACACGATCAGTTTATTGACTTGCATTAGAAATGTACCATCATCTCTTAATATATACTGGATTTTACCTGTGTATTGTATGTTACCATAAGTCTGTATGTACAGATTGCATGTTACATACAATATTTTTACAATGTAATAATGTTACAATATAATTGTATGTACAGTTTAGGCATTTGGATCACATTATATCTTCTGCATGTCATAAACTGTAAAATATTCTCTCCTGATCGCAACTGCCTATCTCTGATATCTTTGATAAATCTGCTTTATGCTGAGCAGAGCATATAAAATACTGTATTTCTCTTTGCAGGATCTTCCATGGCTTTATTATTCTCACAGTGATGATATGCTTCTTACTTCATCATGATATATACATGTAATTGTCACTTTCTTTTACCTGAATTACAGTTGAAAGAGATTGAGCAGACCCTACAAATAGCTTTTCCAGACTAGTATGTACTATTAAAAATTTGATGTTGGGAGACTTCGTGTCTATGTCAGTAAAAAAAATAAATCAGTATTACATTGTGTTGTTTTTAAGGCCTCTGCTCGAATTAAATTTTCATCCAAGGTAATCTCTCAAAAATCAGTGCAGTTAACTCCTTGAAGCACTTTGGGGACAGAAGTGATGTCAAATAGTGTTCATTTAAATGTATAACATCTAAATAAATTGCTGTCTTAGAGCCTGAATAATCTAACTTTGGATGGCAAACCCCACAGGTGCTGCATTTCAGATTGAGAGTGTCTTTCTGAGAGTGAAGCTATCTTTGAA